CCTGAAAGCAAACAATGACGCCTAATCTAGGGTATCTGAATAAGCAAAACAGGAGAAAAGTTACTTCAGTTAAAAGTTTAGAACATATCATTCTAAACAAAGAAAATACCTACAATCTATAAAGCTGAACCCCAGGCAAGCAGCAAAACCGATGAACTACATTTATGGGAGCTGTTTTACCTACCAAAAGATTAGGAAGTTTGACTATGCAGTCCTGAGATCCACATGCTCCTTCCATCAGCAACGCCAGTTTGGCCAACACACCTTTCTCTACTATGGTTAAGCAATACAGCCTAATCACAGCTCTGATTCCAGCCTGTGCATGGCATTGATCACCTTGCTACCCCAGCCTGTGAAGGAGTTTTTCATGGGCGGCAGCAGCTTGATGGTGTGTTCCTTGCTGGCACACATGTATGGAACGGACAGTAATTGGCCACTGTTCTACCATTCAATGTCACACTCTGCATTTCATGGAAAAGAGGAATACAAAATGCTTATAGGAAGACATATTCATTCAGACTCATACACTCTAATAAAGAGGTTTATATCTGTCTGGAACTCAACCACATGAGGGTTGATTGATTTACATGTGATTTTCAGTTGGCTAGGATGAAAGTTAAGAGAATAAAAATATCTCATTGGTTGTCATAGCAGAAACCTTCAGTTACTACAGATTTTATAAAGAAATTCTAAATGAGCAGCAGTACAACAGATCTTACTGCAAAAGCTGGCAAGCATGTATGCATTTGACATTATTTTGGTGTCTTAAGTGCAATAAACTGTTTCATCATAATGTTGTTAAGATTGCCAATGTGCAGTGCAGAAGACATAGCAGAAGACATAACGGCAGACAAGGGTGCATGATTGTATCAAAATTCTACATTTTGTGTACATTTCAGTTACTGAATAAATTTCCTATTTTTCTTATGCTGGGCTTGAGTTTTGACTCGTGTATTTTCACATTACGCACAATATATAGACTAAGGGTCTGTGTACATGGGCATTTGGTCACATTTTTTTTTTTTCCGCATACAAGTCAATGGAAATAAAAAAGCAGCTTAATGCAGAATGGAAGAAGTCAATCCAGGATTCTGCGCTACGGATCTGTTACCATGTGCAGCTGCCACCACCATGCTTATATCCTATAAATAGGATAAAATCAAAGGTAGGTATAATAGGTTATGGTGCGGTGCTTGCAGTGCTACAAAACCCCTCGCCATCAAATAGAATAGTAGCTACACTTTTTAATTGATTTAAACACAAAACAATATGAAAACTAAAATGAACAGCGTTACTAACTCCAACTGTGATAATCTGTCATGTGAACAATATCCTAAAGTGCAATGTATATGACAAAATGAATTCATATAAATCATAAAAATATTAAATATACAATAAATATTAATATAATTAAATATAAAGTGTCTCGTATAATAAATCTAAAAAAAAAAACATACAGTGAAAACTTTATGCAGGCGAAGAAGTAACACAAAAAGTCCCATACAATATCCAATATAAAATGTAAAAATCCCATGTGAAACAAAGGACAGTCCTTCAACATTCTTCTTTATCTGGTGGTTATTTTCACCAAACTTTCCACCACCAGATGTACCACGTAAACTCACCAGAGGAAGGTGATGGTAATGCTGTAAATCAGCTAATAATGCATATGACTCTGAGTGAGGATCTGCAGCTAATCCAAATGTAGCTATTTCCTTTCAGGGATCTGTATAAACTGTCATTCCACATTTTCTCATCACACCACATGAAGGAAGTAGAAAAAAGGGCTCGCATAGTGTAAAACCATCTAAGAACTTTTATTTGATAAAAACAGTAGTAGTAGTTTGTGTTTATACAAGCCATATTATGGAACAAGTGTATTTTTACTGTTTTTAAACTGTCAATAAATGTGAAAATACACTATTGGAGGCTGCCTCCTGGTCTTTTTCCTCTATTATATAGATACTGGAGAAGAGTTTTTGAAGAAGTATTCCTGTGGAGTGAATTCGGATGAGCACAGTGATTTGCAGCTTTCACAGACGTAAGCACTTTATTACACAGTGACTGTTATTGTTGGATTATTGCAAGGTATTGCTCCATGTACTTTACTCAATGATACAACCCAGTTGTACCCTTATTGTAGTAAAGTCTGTGATAGTCCAGAGCTGGAGAATTTTGGGGGGGGAATTGTGTTTATGTACTTTAAAGGTGAAGTTTTATGTAATATAATGAGGGAGGGGTTTTGTAGCACTGCAAGCGCAAAACCATACCTAGTATACCAGCATGGAAAAAGGTCAAAAGCCTCTATGAAGGATCTCAGAAACATTTCAAATTGATCTGAAATGCTCTTAAGCTTTGACTTTTTCAACTCTGAACACAACACATGGAAATATAAAAGCTTAGTTTTCAACCAATAAACGTCAATGTATCAGATATAAGGGGCCTCATTTGCAGCTCATGATATCCTTAGAGGGTTGCACATAATATTCAGTGCAAGATAGGATTGTCGAAGATTGCTGACACACTGTTGGAGATGGTCAGACTGCTGACATGTTGCAGGTCTAGTTGAAAGCACAAGATATTTTGCAAAAGACTTTAAAAGGCATGAGATTTGTAACATGGGACTGCTGGAGATCGCTACCATTACAGACCCTTTACAAATCAATTCTCCAACTGCTGGCTGCTGAGGCCCAAGGGCCTCACCATAAGTACTGAAGGGCAACAGGGTTTTAAACAGTGTACTATAGCTACCCGCATGGGAGATTAACACACAATGACAATAAAGAACTTAGTACACATGAGCAAAATATGAAAATAGGATTGCTTAAAGCGGTATTAAACCCAAATGCAAACATTTGTTTTAATTCTTTCCTTATTTTCAAGTGGTCTGGCCAGTAAGTCTGTTGTTTTTCAACAGAACAAGCTGTCCTGCAACAGCAATTTACCACTGACAGGGGTGCTTATAATAATTAGCTTTTATTTTTTATGTAAACCCCTTTATCCCACAACAAAAAAAAAAAGGAAAAAACTGCTTTTTAAAGTATTAACTGAAGTTTGCTTTAATTTGCTGGTGTATGTAAACCTGCTAGTCCATCTAGCAGTCCCACACCCACAGACTGACAAGGCTGCTGTACAAAGGTGCCCCCTGTACTCATTCATCCAAAGTGGGGCGTTCTGATACAGCAGGTGTGTTACTGGCCACCAGGTGAAAGCAGAGGGAAAAAAAGCCTAATTATAGAAAACTGATGCATCCACCACATCTAATGATTGGTAAGCAGCAATATATTACATTTTTGGTTTTTGGCCTAATAAAGCTATAAAGTCTTGGTTGATGCCACAGATGTGTTTTATGTCATTTGGGGTTGTCTTTAATTCTTTACACAATGCCACAGCTGCTAATGATACATTATAACTAGTGGTGCACCGAAATGAAAATTCTGGTGCCGAAATCGAAAATTCAAAATGTACTTGGCCGAAAACTGAAACCGAAATGCGCAGTTTTTAAAAATGAATTTTTTTTGGAATAAAATAACATAGTTTGGATGTTATGGTGAGTAAATAGATAACCAACATGTCACGCTTTAAAATTCTCATGTAATGGCGTGAAACTGTGGTACTTAAAAATCTCCATGGGTGATGCTTTAAAAATGTCTACAGGTTAGCAGTGTAAAGTTACAGAGGAGGTCTAGTGCTAGAATTATTGCTCTTGCTCTGATGTTCGTGGCGATACCTCAAGTGTGTGGTTTGAACACAATTTACATATGTGGGCATGGCTTATTTATGCGTTCACCACTACGTATGAGCATGGGGGGATGGGGGTACTTTAAAATTTATTTTTTTTATTTATTTAATTTTATTTTGGGGTTTTTTTTGCACTGTCCCTTTAAAAAAATGTTAATTCTTATCACAAGAAATGCATGCATCCCTTGTGATAGAAATAATTAGTGACAGGTCCTCTTCATGGAGAGATATGGGGTTAATAGGACCCCACATCTCTTCTCTGCAATGTAAAGCATTGGATCAAAAAAAAGCGTTGATCTAGTACTTTAAAAAACAAAAAAAAGTGGCTGGAACCAGAAGTGACATCTCTTCGGTCCTCCAAGGTCATAGAGGTGAGTGGAGGCCATCCTTCCTTCAATAATCTTTATACCCAACACCGGTATCGTTCGATGGTTTTTCAGGTAAGGCTGAGAACTACCGAGTGGTGGCAGTGGCGAGTGGGCGACGGTGACAGTTGGCTGGCAGCAGTGAGGGGCGGGGTGTTTTCGGCTCCTGTATCGAAGCTTTTTTTCATATTGACCAACAGCCGAAAGGGGTGTTTCGGCCACCGAAATTTCGGTGCATTCCTAATTATAACATAATTACAACTAGGGCCCCAGTCACACCTAGTGATTTGGAATGAGGTGAAACTCTCTTGATTTTGATATAGCAAAAATACTATATTTTTATTTTCCTTGTGCACAATTGAGTATTCTTTTGCAAAGCGAACTTTCACCACTTTCTCTAAGCTAAGGTAAAAATTATCTTGCAAAGTGAACAGCCTATTTGCCTTTAGTAAACCAACTTCCCCATCTCTTCCTTTTTACCTCTCCCAGTGCCAGATTCATCTAAGGTCCAGCCAAAGGATTATAATCATACATGTGTTATAAGTGTTTTTCCACTTTCATTTCACTTTCAGGCCTTGACCTTTGAGTTTTACCTTTTAGCATTATTACTTTAAGTTGTGTGAACAGGAATATTAAACTGTTTGACTGAATATTATGACATTATTTCATATTGTTATTAAAAAGTAAAAAGAAAAGATTCAATGATAGGATCATTTATTGTATGGAACCAGAAAGAAAGTACGAGACTATAAATATAAAGCCAGCTTGCCATTGACTATTAACCCAATATATGTGATACATGTAATTCATTATAAATGACAGAAAGACAATGCATTCATTGATCTTAAATTTAAGTCAAGAACTGCCGGCCATCAAAAAAAGGACTTGACACCCTCACCATAAGAGAGCTCCACATACACTGATCAAAATCAGCATGATGGAATGGGAAATGAGAAAACCTGAACTTCTTGAACTGTGAGGACAATCTTGATAAGGTTCCAAGCAAGCTGCATAAGCCATCACATGGGGAATATAGCTCTGCTCATGGATGCCGTGGAAAAGATGTGCATGGGGTCCTTTTGCCATAATAGCGACGTCCTCGCCTCCATGTGTCTCTGATGAAAGTGGGACAGCAGTTTGTTGTCTATAATCCCCCTCTGTGAGGAACACAATAACAGATGGTGAAGCATTTGACATTTAATAACTGCTAAAAAAATGTTCCAATAGTTTTTGGATAGAGTTTAAGTTCATCAAAGTCCACAAGCATTAAAGGTACTGAATACCTTTGTCAGGTTTTTGTTTTTTTTTTTGCAGTGTGCCCATAGGGGAAGTTTCCCTTCCTCAGGACATAGGTTGTAAGGTAAATAGGAGGTTTGTAGATGAAATTATGAGGAAGTAAGTGATGCTAAGGCTGGCCATACATTATACAATTTCCTTTAGAGAATTTAGATTTACCAAAAACCATATAATATGAGGTCAAACCTAAACAACACTTTCAATTGTATCCAGTTAGGCAGGCCCTTGCACTACACAGTAGAAGGTAAATCTAAAGGAAATTGGTCAGAAAATTGTATAGTGTATGGCCAGCCTTAGTCATTGTAGGTGATTATACACAACTGTGATTTTTTTTTTTAACCACTAGCCTACGGGGCACTTATACCCCCTTCCTGCGCAGGACAATTTTCAGTTTTCAGCACTGTTGAATTTTGAATGACAACTACGCGGTCATGCAACATTGTACCCATATGAAATTTTTCTCATTTTTTTCTCACAAATAGAGCTTTATTTTGGTGGTATTTAATCACCGCTGGGTGTTTTACTTTTTGCGCTATAAACAAAAAAAGAGCAAAAAATTTGGAAAAAAGGTTTCTTTGTTTCTATTATAAAATTTTGCAAACAGGTAATTTTTCTCCTTCACTGATGTGCGTTGATGAGACTGCACTGATAGGCAGCACTGATGAGCACTGATAGGCAGCACTGATAGGCAGCACTGAAGGGCATTGATAGGCGGCACTGATAGGCAGCACTAATGAGGTAGCACAGATAGGCGGCACTGATAGGTGGAACTGATAGGCGGCACTGATGATGGGTACTGATAGTCAGCACTGACTGGCGGCACTGCTGGGCATTGACTGGCGCAACTGCTGGGTACTGAGTGGCAGCACTGCTGGGCTGCACTGATGGGCACAGGTGGGTGGCACTGATGGGCACAGGTGGGTGGCACTGATGGGTAGAGGTGAGTGGCATTGATGGGCACAAATGGGTGACACTGATGGGTACAGGTGGGTGACACTGCTGGGTGGCACTGATGGGCACAGGTGGGTGGCACTGCTGGGTACAGGTGGGTGGCACCGCTGGGCACCGATCATCAGGGCACTGGTAATCAGTGCCCTGATGATCGGTGCCGATCCCTGCTCTGACAACTTCCGGTTCTCGACAGTACTTTCCCCATGTTCTGACAGCGTGAGGAAAGTGCAGCCAAGAACTGGCAATTGCATTTCCCGGTGATCAGCGTGTCATTGGGCATGGCTGATCACGTGGTAAAAAGCCGCTGTGATTGGCCTTTTACCACATCACGTGATCAGCTGTGTCCGTAGGACACAGTGATCACGGAGATCACCGGGGGCGCACAGGAGAGTGCGTTCTGGGAGGACGTCACATGACGCCCTCCCAGAACTGGCCGGCCGCAGTGTAGCCGTCATTCGGCTATCTGCAGTCGGCAACTGGTTAATTTATTTATTTCAGGTACTTATATAGCACCATCAATTTACGCTGTTCTTTACATATTTTGTACATTCACATCAGTCCCTAACCCTCAAGGGGCTTACAATCTAAAGCCCCTAACTTACATTCATACATACACATACTAGGGCCAATTTAGACAGGATCCAATTAACCTACCAGCATGTCTTTGGAGTGTGAGAGGAAACCAGAGTATTCGGAGGAAACCCACGCAGGCACAGGGAGAACATGCAAACTCCAGGCAGGTGGTGCCATGGTTGGGATTCAAACCAATGACCCAAGTACTGCAAGGTGGAAGTGCTAACCATGTAGCCACTGTATTGATTAGCAAACCCAATATTTTGAAAAAAGACAAGAAAAAAACATTGACCCTGACTATGAAGATTTTGGTGTAATATGTAACTGTCATTTTCAGCGTTTTTGCATAGGTTTTTTTTTTATTATTATTATTATTACAAAGTTCTACCTGTTGCTGTTTATGATTAGACAAACTATATATTCCACTCGTTTCTGACTTTCTGCAGCCATTTCGCTGAGTGGCAGGGTTTGTCTGCTATAGTTTCATGATCAGTTCCAAGGTAATAAAAAAAAAAAATGATATTCACCCTCAAGTATGAACATATTCTGAACAAGTAGTAAAAGCATTTAAAGGAGCCTCCATTCAGCTCTGTAGCTATATGCATTGCAAGAAAAATAATTTTCTAAAAATCACAAAAGAGGAACAGACATCTTAAAGCAAGTGAGTAGAATCTTGATGGCATGCCATCACTCTGACATTCCGTTTCTAAGTTATTAGAAAGTAGAGTATGTCTTGCAATCTTTAAGGATCCTTGGAAATGAATTTCTGCTAGTTAGGAATATGTAATATAGTAAAATGCTTATGTTCATTTCAAAGTGCTCAACGTAGCTAGTTGTAAATATATTAATTATACAGTACATATTTATGTAAATATCATTTCTTTGGTCCCAAACACTTACTTTTCTAGTTTTAATCACTTGCCTACTGGGCACTTCTACCCCCTTCCTGCCCAGACCAATTTTCAGCTTTCAGTGACATTTAAAAAAAAATTTGAGACATATAAAGCTGTCTTTTGGTGGTATTTAATCACCACTGTGTTTTAAATTTGCTAAACAAACGAAAAAATACCAAAAATTTTGGAAACTTTTTTTTTTCTTAGTTTCTGTTATAAAATTTTGCAAACAAGTAATATTTCTCCTTTACGGATATGCACCAATGGGCACTGATGAAGCTGCACTGATAGGCAGCACTGACGAGGAGGCACTAATGGGCACTGATGAGGGTGCACTGATAGGGAGCACTGATAGGCTGCATTGATATGCTGTGACTAGGAGGCACTGATAGGCTGCATTGATATGCTGTGACGAGGAGGCACTGATGAGGCTGCATTGATATGCATCACTGATATGCAACACTGATGGCACTGACAAACAGCACTGATAGACACTGTTTTCACTGCACTGATGGACACTGTTGGGGCTGCACTGGACTGTCTCTGATTTTTTTAAATACACTTGCCAATTACCGCCTCTCCTCTTTTCTCACTCTGTGAGAGCATGAGGAAAGTGCAGCCGATAACAGAAACTGTATTTACATTGTGATCAGCTGTGACATTGGATACAGTTGATTATGTGGTAAAAGGGTGCTGTGATTGGCCCGTTACCTTTTAATGTGATTAGCTGTGTTTGACAGCCACAGTGATGACAGAGCTTGCTGGGTATGTGTGGGCGGAGTGGTTCTGGAGGACATCATACGACGCCCTTGCAGAACTAGATGACTGTGCTGTAGCTGTCATTTATCTATAGCTTGGTCATAAAGTGGAAAAATATCTCTGTGGCCCCTTCCTGGACATCAAGTCAGGGAGCACACACACTGCATAGCACCAGCTAGAAATATCACATAGTAGAGAGCTACTGTCAATCAAAGCCCTTGCAAGGCAGTGTAGTCACCCTACGGGCAGAAAACACATATGCAGAGCTTTCAATGGCTCTTTTCCATGCTAAACCAATTTTATTAAGGGAACAGCAAACATACAAGAATATGAGGTATACTTCTACAGTTATTGTTCTCCTTGCAGGTTTAATAACACAGTAATATCAGCTTTCTGAATTACACTAAAAGTTTACATACTTGGAAAATCATGGTCTATACTGTATATGTCCCCTATTTTTTGCTTTGTATCAAAACAATTCTACAATACTGGAAGTGCAATGCAATTTGGCAACCCTTGTTTCTGAATACAGATCAGCTGAACGTATCTGGATTCAATTCTAGGGAGGTTTTATGAGCTGTGCTGATGTTCTGAACATTAATCTGAAACCCACTGAAGTAAATGGGAGCCAAATCATTAAATTCAGTCCTGGCCATTTTCAAGGCAATTAGGCAAGGGATTGTCAAACAAATAGCATGGGGACTGGGCACTGCCCAGGAGAAGATATACTAACGAGAAAAAAAAATATATATATATATATACATTGGTGAACAGTTATTTTAATCATGCTTAATGTGAAACAATAAAATTCCTTTAAATTACATGCTTGGGAGATGCTTTAGACCTGCCTGTGAAGTGCTGCAATCATGCAATGGGGTTGATTTACTAAAACTGGAGAGTGCAAAATCTGGTGTAGCTCTGCATTGTAGCCAATCAGCTCCTAACATCAGCTTGTTCAATTACGTTTTGACAAAAAAACTGGAAGCTGATTGGTTTCTATGCAAAGCTGCACCAGATTTTGCACGCTAGTGTATACAACGTACTATAGAAAAAGTTACATTTACAAAGAAAAACATTCTATTTCCATTTCTGGTACAGTGAAATGGCATATTCCTTCTAGCGTGGTTTTTGGGAACCCCAAAAAAAACATACCCTGAAAATGCATAACAGACCCTTATATTTCGCAAAGGTCTGTTTTGGATTTAACAAGGGACCCCAGGAAAAAAAAAAAACCCAGAAAACACAATATTGAGCCCCCTCATACTCTGTACAGTCTGGCTGGCCAGAAAAGAGGACGGGACAAGCATGACTCCCCCACCCCCCTTCCTGAACCATACCACTCCACATGCCCATATGGGGAAACTATGTTGATGAGGACAAGGGCCTATTCCTCACAACATTGGCCCAGTGGTTGCGAGTGTCTGCTGAGGACTGGCTTATTGGAATCTGGAAGCCCCCTTTAAAAATAAGGGGGGTCTCCAGATGTCCCCCCCATGTGAATGATTAAGTGGTACATGTAACATCTACTCAATCACAAATTTAAAAGTTAATAAATACACCACATACGTTGGCAAATTTATTTAAAAAAAAAAAAACACGATGTAAATCTATTGTCAATCATGTTGTCCAATAATGCAGATTCTCACCAAACATGATGAATGCTTCCCCAATCCACTGAAAAAAAAAACTAAACAAACCACCAACCGCCATAACAACCCATTGTTATTCTTTTTGAAATAACAGATTCCCAGCTGACAGATGGATGTAAACAAAGGGGTGGGGATGATGACTGGTATCATTAGTCAAATATGGCCATATCTGGTCAGCGATGTCAGCCATCATCCCCGTTCCTGTGTTTATATTCACCTGTCATTCACAAATCCTCAGCAGACAGCTAAATGGACCAGGTGGGGATGCATCATTGGTTGCTTTGAAGCCAGCAACTCACGGCTCCCTAACAATTAGCCTCAGTGGGAAGCTGTCTCACTTAGCAGTAGTAGTCATACCACTGCTAATGGTGAATTCACGCTGTGATGCAGAGCGGCTGGGGCGATTCACCACTCCAGCCGCCATGTGTTACTGCCTGCGCTAGGGGGCAGTGTGGTGCACGATTTAGCGCATCACACGGCTCCCTTTTTTTTTTTGTACAAGCCTTATTTAAAGTGTACAAAACTTTACTCACTACAATTTCTGGAAGCTCTGTGCGCTGCCTGACATAGCGGCCTGGTACACTGCAATAAAATGAAGCATGTCTACATCTTACAGCAGCAAGCGGGAACACATCTGTGAATTGGCCCTAAAGGCATCACTTCTCACTGCAGCTCAGGGGGCAAGCAAGCCCCTCATTTAGTTTCTCCATTTGCCAAACGGGTACAATTCAGATGGAATTCTAGTTGGTCTGAATCTGAAGATTATCCCTATTTCTGAATGAATGATAGAGCATACTGTAGGTGCTGTAATTGTCTATCTGAAGCCTTTTACTTGATAGGTCCTACTACTTGTACATTAGTCTGCCTTAGATATGTTAGTTCGTCAAACTTGAAAGCAGGGACAGAAGAGAAATGTTGACAATGACGACAATAACAACATTTACCTATGGCAACGTTAGTAATATCCTGACGACTTCCATTTTCAATTTTGAAGCCAGGTCCATTGCCATACAACAAGCTTGTATAGGGCATACGATCTGAAGCGTTTCTGGGAGCCTTTCCTACAAAAGTCAACATATTTATCTCTTAGATCTGATCTTTTAAAAGACATACAAACTTGTGAATATTGAGCACCTTTAATATACATCTGATAATAATCCGTACTCTCAGTTAGTACTCACAGTTGTACAGCTGCTCCTCCATGCAGGTGCTTTGAAAATATATGCAGTACTGAGCCATAATCAGAATAATAGACATAGGCTGACAGCTGTTTGTTTAATGCAGCCTTCATATGTGTACTGGATTTAGTTCATACTTTTTGACCCAGGCATTCGTACATCCAACGTGGGCCCATCTTTTGCTTGTTGCTGTGGTATAATAACCAGTCACTCAAAAAGTAGCTAAAGTGGTTGTAAAGGTAAAAGGTTTTTTTTTTTTTTTTTTTTTACCTTAACCACTTCCATACCGGGCACTTTTACCCCCTTCCTGCCCAGGCCAATTTTCAGGTTTCAGCGCTCTCACACTTTGAATGACAATTGTGCGGTCATGCAACACTGTACTCAAACTAAATGTTTATCATTTTGTTCACACAACTAGAGCTTTCTTTTGGTGGTATTTAATCACCACTGGGGTTTTTATTGTTTGCTAAAGTAACAAAAAAAGACTCAAAATTTTGGAAAAAAAAAAACATTTTTCTTTGTTTGTTATAAAAGTTTGCAAATAAATAATTGTTCTTCATAAATTTAGGCCAAGATGTATTCGGCTACATTTCTTTGGTGAAAATAACAGAAATCAGTATTTATTATTTAGTCTGTAGGAAAGTTATAGAGTTCACAAACTATGGTATAGATCTGAAAATTGATCAAACCTGAAGTACTGACATCCAATCTAATTTCTTGAGGCCCAAAAATTTCAGAACAGTACAGATAACCCCCAAATTTTTGCAAAGTAGACAGTCCGATGTATTTCATAAGAGGCATGGCGAGTTATTTGAAGTTGTAGTTTTTTTGTCATAATTTTTGGAAAATGAAGAAATTAAGAAAACATTTTTCACAAATATTTTTTTACATACTGTCACCAGTGCAGTACAGCACCATTATATAACTGGTGTGGTGGTGATCAGTGACACTTACTGGTGACAGTATGAATAAAAAAAAATGTATAATTTTTTTTTTTCAATTTTGTTTTTTAATTATTTTTTATTACATTTTTTTCTTTTTTACGATTTTTTTTCTGATTGCACTATGCCCAAAGTAGTATAATGTTACCATAGTAACATTGCACTACTTTGGGGAAGTGATCTTTTTTTTTTTTTTTATATATACACAATTTGATTGCTTATAGCAAAAAATTTCTTTGCTATAAGCAAGCATTTAACTGAATGAAATCGATTCATTCAGGTTTTTTTGTTGTGATTAGCTGGGATTGGCCATGGCTAATCACATGATACAGATAGGCAGTGATTGGCCCAGCCTGTGCATGTGATCACTGTGACCATTCACAGCTAGACAAACTTGTATACAATGGATGGCATGAAAGGAACCTGCTACATCACTACAGCTAAGCAGCAACACAATAGTGACTCAGTGCCCAGTGGATGCAAACACAACTCTGAGCAGTTCTTGAAGCACTGTAGTTCAGGTTTAATGGCTTGTAATGTATAAGGTTGGATCATAACCATGCTTTTTTACCCCACGAAGTGGTTGGCATTGAAATCAACAGAAAGAACATTAACATGCATTGTCACATGTTATCAACCTGCACTGAATGTCAATACACGTCATGATGCCTTTACGTGTATAATGACACGTCACTGATAAGAGTAATGCATTTACATTTCAAAAGAAGCTGAATTGGGTTTTAGGAAGTATTTTATTTAGGTAAGACCATCTTATACTTACAGAGCTTTACATATTAGGTCCCTAAAGAGCTACATCTTCTACATTCTCTTGTTGGTATATATAAGCAGAAGGTGAGTACCAATTAGCAATGCTTACCCCTTTGTACATGCCCCCAAAGTTGGCCATAAACTAGTAGAACATTGTTTTTAGATTGTTTGTTCAATTTTCTATTTGATAGTGGGATCAAACTGATCATTTTTGGGATCAAACTAACTGTACATTTTTGGCCACAATGATGAGAAAATTCAAAAGAGGTAGGATGGATCATTTTTCTCGAACTAATGAATTTCTAACAGTGGATGTGGTTTTCAATGGGAAAAGTCTATTCCCTTCAAAATCAAAGCACAAGATTTTTAAAGTACTTCTGAATTATATTTGTCAAATCATCGAATTTACTGATGAGAATTTTCATATGAATATTTTTCATATGAATACATACAAATATTTATACAGACAATCATTCAAAAAAGTACTGGAGTGTGGCAAGCTTAAAGTGGTTCTAAAGTCAAACTTTTTTACTTTAATGCATTTCCTGCTTCCCCCCCATCCCCAAACACTTACCTGCCTTTTCTCCCAGCTCCAGCATTGCCCCAGCTACACCACTTCTCTTGCTTCCCAGTTTCACAGGAGACACTAAGAGCAGCGGGAGTCATAGGCAGAAACAGGGGCGTGGCTTATGGGTGCTGTGGGTTTCTATGCATGCACACATCCTGACTCAGGAGCACCCCTGTGTGGGTGCCCCGATAGCACACAGCAGGGAGAAGCAGACAGAAGTAAGGGACCACTCTGGGCAAAGTTATTGCACAGAGCTGGTAAGTATAACTCCTTTTTTCATTTTAATTAAAACACAACTTGGCTTTTAATTTCACTTTGAGGCACTTTCAGCTAACCCAGAACAGTGTGCCCCTGGATTTTTGTACAGTGTTGGTAACTATGTATTCATGGGTTCTAACCAGAAAGTCCTGACTGGTTATTTGAGGGCTTACCACCTCGCTCTGCTTAATTTAACCACTTCATGCCCGGACACTTTTAGCCCCTTCCTGCCCATGCCAATTTTCACACTTTGAATGACAATTGCGCAGTCATGCAACACTGTACCCATATGAATTTTTTGAGACAGATAAAACTTTATTTTGGTGATACTTATTTACCACTGGGATTTTTTTTTTTTTTTGCTATATAAATGAAAAAGTCCAAAAATTTTGATAAAAAGTGTTTTTCTTATAAAATTTTGCAAATAATCTTTCTTCATAAATCTTGGCCAAAATTTATTCAGTTATCTTTTTAGTAAAAAAAAAACCCAAATTAGTTTATAACCAACAATTTTAATATTTAAACAATTTTCTTTACATTTTTATTTTATTTTTTATATTATTATTTATGGGTTTTTGTGGGGGTTTTTTGCCTACTGTCACCCTAGCAGTACAGTGTCACCACAGTGACACTACTACTTGTGGGGTTGATGAAGATTTTTGTTTTACACTGATTGCTTTTACACCCATAAAGGCTGTAAAAGCAATCATTTCTCTTTCTCTCTGGCTGCATTCTTGCAGCCATTGAGAAATACTGTAACAGCTGTGATTGGTCACAGCTTGTCACATGGTACAAGACTGTTGCGAAAAGCCTTGTACCATGTGACCTCTGTGATCATTCACAGATTTCACACGTAGTAAGCAATGATGTCAGGAAATGACATCTTGTTTACTACTATTCATGTGATCACTGATTGGCCAATCAGTGATCACTGATTGGCCAATCAGTGATCACATGATCGGGACCTCACACAGAGGTCCTGTAGAGCAATCGGCCATAGCGGGCACTGGATCAGGGTGCTGCACACTCCCAGGGAGCGCGCGCAGGCTAAATTGGTGGGCGCAATTTATGAATGGCAACCCGCTCCTGCACTGCTCTCGTCCGGCCGTTTATATACATGGGCCGGACAGGAAGTTGTTTTAAAGCGGGAAATTAGCAACATATAAAATCATATATTAATTTTTCACATTGTGTTTCAATAATAGCCTATTGCTTATTCTAGCCCATTGCTTATAATCTGAACACTCTTGAAGCTGAAAAAATACTTTTTGAAGAATCCCCTTACATTTACTTCCTTGATACCCTGTGAATAGACACTGTGTCAATGTGTCACACATTTCACAGAGCCTGCCTTCTGAACTACAGAGCTGCTGAGAGGAGGAGTTTCAGGAGACAGAGTCAGTACAGGAATCACACCACATTGTATCTGTTTACAGGCAGCAAGATGAATAAACCTCCCAGTAATGCTATTACTAGGCTGCCACTAGAGGGACCTCTAATTTGTAATGTGACTTCAGAAGATTAATACCAACAAGCTCACATGGAAATGCGCATCAATTTGTGTTAGAGTTACCATTACTAATTTATATAGTAGGATGCTAAACAGAGAATGTGAATGTGGGACAAACACAAAACTGAACAAAGATAGAATAAACTAAGTTTTACTAACTTGTATCAAGAGGAGAACAGAAAACACACATGGATCACTTGCTCATTGGCCAGGACCCTGTGATCGGTATGTAAGGGAACCAGTGAGACCGCAGCCGGGTGGGCATGCACAGGCGTCCCCTACCCAGAAATGCATAATTACACACCTGGTGCCAACAGTGAATGGGCTGACAAAAGCCCGGATGCCAAGACGCAATTTCTAGTTGCCATGGTGAACTGGCACCTGGGATTTGTTGAGTTCTGCTGTAAAGTAAGAATGCTTTTGAAAATATATATTTTAATTGTTTATTTTTTTCAATTTACAAAATGCAAAGTGAGTGAACAGAAGAAAAATCTAAATCAAATCAATATCAATCAATGGAAGTGATGGTTTGACCCCCACAGAGCCCTGATCTTAACATCATCAAGTCTGTCTGGGATTCCATGAAATGATAGAAGGATTTGAGGCAGCCTACATCCACAGAAGATCTGGGGTTAGTTCTCCAGGATGTTTGGAACAACCTACCTGCTGAGTTCCTTCAAAAACTGTGTGCAAGTGTACCTAGAATAATTAATTTCCAGTTTGTTAACTGATAAAAATAAATTAGTAACACTTCTATTTCTGAAAGCATTCTTATTTTACAGAATTTTTCACACCTGCCTAAAACTTTTGCACAATATTTGCAAATATTACGCAATTAACATAAATTAATGCCAGATTGTTTTTTTTTTTTCTGGCTACCTGGTAAGAGTGCTGAGAAATACATTTTGTTTTGTTTACTCTGTGCAAAGCCCTTCCATGTGCACCTTACGCTAAAAGCCATTCATAAATAGGGGTGGTTGCTATTTTTGCTTAATATTCTTACGATTGGTCCGAGTGGATTTTTTTAAACACATTATTGAGTGTTCCTTGTATAGTAATGTCAAGTCTTATTTCTGTAAAAATGCTTAAAATGTTAAAATTCATACCCAAAATACTGTTGCCACGATCTGTATATCCCCCATGGGTGAAAACATGGGAATGGTCAGCAGTTACAACAGTTAGTGTATCACTTTCAGATGTCATCTGTCCAGCCCTCCGGATGGCTTTGTCAAATTCAACAGCCTCAGTCAATGAATTCCTGGCATTCGTATCATGGTGACCATGGTCAATTCTGCCACGTAAACCATTAAATAATGTTAGCTTTTAATTAAATTCTTTTAATAGAGTAATTCATAAACTGTATTTTTTATCTGAATCTTGCACAAACTCTGTTGCAAGTTACAATCGCTTCACATAAACAATGAAGGTGTCACAATTAGAAAAAGAAAACCAACTGGATTTTTTTCTATAGTACTTTTTCAGTATGCTACTTGCTATTAGTTAAATATTGCTGTTTCCAGTTCAGCAACTCACAACCATTTTTACAAAGAACTCTTAGGAAATAAATGTTTGTTTAGTAATATTTAATTAGACGCAATGTATGGATTGTAGCTGTAATGTGTAAGTAGCTCAGTTATACCCTTTGGTGAACATATTGACTGTGCAGCTAATGCCTGCCAGAAGAGGCACATGTCAAAGAGTGAAGGATAGCTCTACCTCTTCCTGTCAACCCTAGCATGTGACCTATCGTATGTCCGTCCAGGCAGTCAAGAAGAAGTTTTTAGGGCTAGTTCACACCAGATGCAGTCAAGTGTGTTTCTTTTGTCTGCATCAAAAATGTATGCACAGTGTTTTCCATGGATTTTAATGGCCCTACACCAGTGCAGTCAGTTCCCAGAAAAAAATAAGTAGAACATGCTGCATTTTTTCTGCACGTAGCTGTACTGGAACATAGCAAAACACATAAACACACCGGAATGGAGTGTGGTGTGAACTGCAAGCAAAAACATAGCCAGATGCATTTTTGTGGTGTGAACTGACCCTTATTCATTTGTACTGACAACAGATCTGAAAAAAACAGGTGCAGATAAGGCAGGGGAAAGACATTAGCACCAGAGCCTCTCTCCCTATCCAAGAGCTCACCAGGGTGCCCAACCTCATACCTCCCCAGTCAGAAGACCCCCCCCATCCCAGTTTAAGAGCCTGCCAACTCTTCCACTCCCCCCAGACCTCCTCCAGCTTCAGAGCTCTCCATCCAAACAGTACCCCAATCTCAGACCCTTCCAGGCACCCTTCCGAAGCTCCTCAGGCCCTCAAAGTACCTCAGCCCCAAGCTGCCCAGGTCTTTCCCTGCATTGTATTTTTCCACTCACTGGTGTCAAGCAATTATTTTCTCCCACTAAACACCAACACCAGGGAATGATTTCCTCCATGCTGTCCACTGTCCCTCTGGCAGCCACGTTATTGTTTTCTCCCACTAACCTCCAATGCCAGGACATTTTATATCCCACTGACCAACAATGTAAAAGATCACTATGTAACATATTGCTGATCTGTGTATTGCTATGCTGTACATTGCATAGTACTGACTCCTGCACCCTACTTTTGTCTACACTCTGTAAGCTATGCTGTAGGATACATACTCCTAACCAAATGTTGATTGTCTCGGCAATTGCCATTTGATAATTAGTCCCCAACTGTTTAATTGAAGTTATTTTTAAGGCAAGCAGGGAGAAAATGTTAGCTCTTTGTCTATAGTCTGCATGTAGAATATAAAGCACATGTAATGGGAGATTTGCATTTTTTTAAAAAATGATCCTTTGTCCTGGCGTTGTTTGTCTGTGACACACTTGATTGTGGCACAGTAAAAAAAAAAAAGGTAGTATGTTGTTGGTATCCAAATTTCAGCATAAGCATAACTCCAAACTGTCCCTGATTTCGAGGGACTGTCCCTGATTTGGAACAAAGTCCCTCTGTCTCGCTTTCCTCCTCATTTGACCCTCATTTTGGTCTGTTGTATATTAAATGCAGTATTTATCGTTCAAAGAGTGTTTCACAATACTAAACCATTCATCCAGTTTCTAAAGTTCAGCATTAGTAAATTTCAAAAGCCAGTATAAAGGAATAGTAGTGGTAAACAAAAAAGCGGGTTTACCTAATAATTTTTTTGTATGATTTTCCTTTAAGGGGGTGTGTCCTATGAATACATACTTTGCCAATAGGTGTCCCTAGTTTCCATCTCAAAAAGCTGGGAGGTATGCATAAGTGTTCAGTGTATTGTAGAGTCAGACTTTACTTAAAGTGGAACTTTACCCATAACAGCTTGATAAAAAAATTATGTTCTTTAGCAAAGAACACACATTCCACATTCATAATTATGCTACCAAAATTAGTGGGTGTTGTAAAGTGCCACCACCTGTTTTTTCTTGCTAGAGGCTAGCTTTTTGCCAGCAGGTGATCCGGAGTGCTGTGTCCAGACTGAGCTCTGCAAGAGGGACCCGAGAACCATCGGGGGGGCCCCCATGTACAGAGGGTGAAAGAACGCCAGACTTGAGTGATGCCACAGATCGGGTGAGAGAGTCCCATACACCAGCCAAACAAGTGAACACTGATATTCCCTGCAAACCTACCCATTTTCCTGCACACAGTTGCAGGAATTGAATATATTTCCCCCAGGCCTTTTACCAAACACATTCTCAGCATAATTCAGTCATTGGAGCTGCCTGCAGTGCACGCCCTTTGCAAGCCAAACCACATCAATATTCATTTAGCCATTAGCCTACCATTTCAAAGGAACACTTGTCACCATCGCATTTGACTACTGCAGACCAGAGAAAAGTTGCCCATCGCCAGCAAGCACTTCTAACAATTTCTGATACCTTTTTTTTCCCCAATCAAGTGTCTCTTAAAGGAATAGTACTGAAATCTTTCTTGTACTAATCGTTTTAGAAACTGCTACCTTTATATCGTCAACTTAACCACTTGCCTACAGGGCACTTATACCCCCTTCCTGCCCAGGCCAATTTCCAGCTTTCAGCGCTGTCACACTTTGAATGACAATTGCGTGGTCATACAACATTGTACCCATATGAAATGTTTATCATTGTTTTGAGACAGATAGAGCTTTCTTTTGGTGGTATTTAATCACCTCTGGGATTTTTATTTTTTCTTAAACAAACCAAAAACCACTGAAAATTTTGAAAAAAAAAAGTTTTTCTTAGTTTTTGTTGTACAATTTTGTAAATAAGTGATTTTTCTCCTTCACTGATGTTTGCTAATGAGGCTGCAGTGATGAGCACTGATAGGCTGCACTGGTGGCACTGATGAGCATTGACAGGCATCACTGATGGGCACTGAAAGGCAGCACTTATACATGACACTGATATATGTCCCCTCTGCGGAAAGCCAATTACCGGCTCTCCTTTCCAGCTGTCAGCGTGACAGCTCGAGAGGAGAGAAATGCGCTGATAACCGGCATTTCCTTGTTTACATGTGATCAGCTGTGATTGGACACAGCTGATCACATGACCGAGCCAACATCTTCGGCTCTTTCCGTGATCCGCTGTGTCCGGGGGACACAGCGCACCAGCGATCGCCGTGCTGCACTCTCCCTGAGCCGCGCATGTGCGGTGAGAATTGAAGGATGTCATATGACAACCTATCAGAACGAGAGAACCACCTTGCTCCCGTCATTGTACTATATGGTGAGCGGAAGGTGGTTAAGAAGTCTGAATTTCTGTTATGCACCAATTGGGCCCCAATGAGCACGCAGAAGATTTTTTTTCACTGCATTTGAAGGATGTTGGCTACCTTAATTAGCAAGCTCCTTTCTATTTCAGATTTAAACCTTGCCATCAGATCATGAGGACCCAAAGTGAGCTAGTTTTACCTGTTGATAGTTTCCCCTGCTTACTGGGGACTACAAACACTTCAGGCTTGTGACTCTCGGTTAACTTCTGAATAGTAGGCCTGCCAGCACTGATTGAGATTTTGTTGTATGTGCTTAGAGTTGCTAAGAGTGATAATTGCCATTATGCACACACATACTGCTTTCTGTTGTTTTACAGTGCTTACAGCCAAGTTTACTATAAACAATACATCAGTTCACTCTAATCTGTATACGGTGAGTGTGTGAGAGTACTGTAGTGCCAGCAGGGGTTTCAGAGTGGGGTCCAGAGCAACAGAGAGCCCAAAAATAACTCAGTGACTCCGAAGGAGGTAGTGATGTATAATGTATATCTTAGTTTAATGAACAAGTTAGGGCACCATAGGGTTTCCTTAGTCAATAAATGACTGGATAACACTTGTGGTATCTAGAGGGTGCCATAAACCATAGGCTACTTAAAGACATAAAATAGTTATCACCCAATCTGACCAATAACAACAAGAAATTATTGTATTAATCTACTGATACAGCGATTACTTTATATATTCCCTAGCCAATTCATTTTAAATTTAAATTGAATGTTCTTCACCTATAAGAAGGATATCAAGGGGTATCAGGGGTTACTGCTAAGTATAATAATGCATATGCAGTTTATGTTATCATCATTTGTGTTTATGCAAGTTACCAACGTATGTCCAAGGGTAGAAAATATCCTTTGCAGACTTATCTTGAGGTGATCCACCTATCCTTTACTTTGGATTTTTTGTTTATGTTTCCCAGTGGAAACAAAAATGTCTGCTGTGCATGAAGACCTACATATTTGTTAGATATACAGTAAGCATGTGCATCTTTGTCAGATGATAAATAGTCTGGCAATAAGATGTTTGAAAATGTATGTCAACAGTATATTGATGAGTCTAATTTTTTCAACAACCAATAAAATGGATTGTCTTTCTTATTTTCTGTCATGTTTTACAAAATTTAATTTTGTGCACTTATCTTCTACAAAAAGGAAAAACCCATTGGCATTCTTGCTCAGGATCTTGATGGCCTTCTCAGTCATCTCAGCCAGGGATGGGTCAGCGGACTTATCCCGGTTCAGTTCATACTTCATGTCTTTTGGCTCAAAAAGACCTGGAATAGTTACAAGTCAAATAATGTACCATTTGTGTTTGTTTCATTGAAAACTTGAGCTTACCTTGATTAGTAAGAATATTTGATTTTATGAAGCTCGTCAGTGACAAGATTGGTGTGTCCACTCACCTTCTTCCTCCTATCACGTTGATTCCTTAACCAGTTAAATGTCTTGCCATCACTGCTCTCTTGCAAGTGAGTGAGTCTGTAGTGTTTAGTGTGTAGTGATTAGATAAAGGAGTCTGATGCACCTCAGCTATTCTTTTGTTTGCAAGGTATCTTCAGATTCAGAATAGCCAGAATGCCTTTAGCGGCATATTTATACAAAATCTGTTTTAGCAGTCTCTATGGGCAGTCATTAGATTTTCATTCTAACATGCAATGATTTAAGGCAAACAAATGTGAATATTCAAATGTGTCTTGCAAATGTGCAGTCATTGTTTAATATAACATTCACACTTTTCAGGTAAGTTAGCTGTTACAGTTAGCACATTTTGCTGCTGAAGAGCATACAGTCATGGCCAAAAATATTGGCACCCCTGCAATTCTATCAGATAATGCACCACTTCGCTCAGAAATTTGTTTCAATTACAAATGTTTAGGCATTCTCATGTTTATTTCTTTAGTTTGTATTGGTATGACAGAAAAAAGTGGAGAAGCAAAATGCCACATATGACACATTCCATGCAAACTCAAAAAATGGACTGAACAAAATGATTGGAATCCTCAATTTAACATTTAGTAGCACACCCCTTGGAAAAAATAAGTCTCTCAGATTGGAAGGTTTCCTTTTCCATCTGCTGTTTTGAGATTTCTCCACAGGTGCTCTATGGGATTTAGATCTGGACTCATTGCTGGCCAGTTCAGTACTCTCCAGAACTTTTTCTAAACCATTTCTAGGTGTTTTTTTGATGTGTGCTTTGGGTCATTGTCCTGCTGTAAGACCCATGACCTCTGATAGAGACCCAACTTTCTGGGCCATGCATTGCACCCCAGAATTCTTTTTTTAATCCAAACAACTTTTATTGTCATAAAAGTAGAAGCATTACATATGGATTGTACAGGACACAATACAATGGTAACGTGGGTACGCAGAGCCACAGAAAAATGGAAACATCATCCAATGGATACGATTTCCATATGGCATCCGAGACAATGACGTATTAAACAAAATAAAACATTACCCTGGGTCAACTAGGTAACAATTCAGTAGGTCAGCCCTACTTCTGAAGTAGAGGCTTAAAGCTTAAAGATAAATTTTGGTACACACTTATAGATAATACTTTACACTTGCAACAGTCTGTCCATGACTAATTGAAACCGAGCAAGACCAGGAACAGCCAGCCCTGCCAGACTGTCTGAAATTTATGGTGGGCATTACGGTGATGGTATTTGAGTCTTTCTCTGAGTAATAAAGATTTGACATGGTCTGCCCATTGGTTGGAGGGGTGGGACACATCCACTGCCTAGCAATTAATTTTATAGCAAGATACAACAATCTGGAAGCCATAATATAAGCCCCGGGTTGAAAAAATTCCTGGTCTAGAGCGCCCAGAAAACAGATTAAGGGATCCTGAGGTATAGACTGTTGTGTTACCAGAGAAATAGTTTTTAAGACCTCAGTCCAATATCTGGTTAATTTTGGGCAGCGCCAAATCATCAGCACCTTTTAATCAATACAGGTGACTTTATTACAAATTACAGGAGTATCACAAACTTGGGATGCAATTATTTCTTATAATTTTGAGAAGGTGCCAGTCATTTTCTCCAGTCCATTTTTGGAGTTTTGTGTGGAATGTGTCAGATTTTGCTCTCTGTTTCTCCACATTTCTATGACATACCAATACAAACAAAAGAAAGAAACATGAGAATGCCTAAACATTTGTAATTACAATGATTTTCTGGGCGAAGTGGTACATTATCTAACAGAATTGCAGTGGTGCCAATATTTTTCACCATGACTGTATGCGGGAGAATGTCAGGGAGTCTGTTTTTTTACCTGGTAAATGTGTTTTATGAATAGAGTGAGTGTTAACCAGTGAATGTGTTGGTAAATGTACTGTCAAATCCTTTATAAATATGCACTTTTGTTTTGTGATAATTACACATGTCAAAGATAGCCCATGTTTATGTTCCTTCTTTAGATTTTTATCAATATATGTGACAAAAAAAATACCCTACCAATAAGGTAATCAGTGTTAGATTCACTTATAGCATCAAACTGCTGCTTGTTCCATACATAATTTGCCCGCTGTAGAAAAAAAAAACAAAAAGGAATAAAATCAATTTTTTTGGTAAAAAATACATTTTCTGTTTCAATACATTTTTTATTGAGAATAAACAGTATGTGTACATTGTATAGTTTGCAGTATACAAAGAAAGTATCTGGCAATGGTCTTACAGTACCACAAAATGTTTTCATTTCAGTTCCAGTATTTTATCAAGTAAATCTGCAGTCTATTGAATGAAAGTCTCTTATAAGACCTCTAACTATAGTTCAACAATGAAAATGTATCCTTACATAATACATCCAACATTACAAGTCAAAGAGCATCAATAGATCAGCATGTAATGAGTTTTTTTTTTTGTAATGCTTATAAAAGCTCTCCAGTTTAAAATACTGTTGCAGGAATGTATGCACCAGAGCAGGGGTGGCATTTCAATTTCCCAATGGGCCAAATGAAAAAATAGAGGGCCTAACCTAATTCTTCTCAATAATAATTTTGCACCTGGGAAAGTCCATAAGTATGGAAGTAACTTTTAGAAAACAAACACCTAGCGCTAGGTAAAAACGGGTGGCTGTCCCCCGAGCTCCCATACAAACTGTAAACTAGCAGCTGGACAGGGCTGTTCACATGTCATGACTACGGTGCTTTGCTTCCCAGCGTTTTTAACTCAGGGGGGGTCCAAAGTTTTACAAGCGGCACCGCTTGCCCAACTCGCCCACTGAGTTCATCAGGGTCGAGCTGCAACGCATGCAATGCACGAGACTACAGAGTGGTAGTACAGCATTATAGGGTTGAATCAGGCAGTGAGGAAGCGTCATAACACCTCCTCACTGCCTGTCAAATGCCCTCTGAAAAGGATGCGAATGGAAGGAGAGAGCCTGGAATCAGTACAGCATGACCATCTGAACACCCTGACCTGGAGGGAAGAACAGGTGCATAGCTCCTGGGGTTTGCAGCATGTACCTGGTAACAAAGGGAGTACTTGGCAGTGTAGCAGAGTGGCAGGAGAGTGTTAGGATGTCTTCTAGGCAACGCTCTCCCACCAGAACCATGCCCCCCCCACTGTACCAATCAACTCAGACCTGGGCCTATTGCGGCCCCAGGGCCACATCCAGCCCTATGGCTGTCCCTATCCAGCCCTCAATGTCTTCACTGTAAGCATGCCTGAAAGGCTCAGAGAGGCACATTGACAAATGTCTGTGTGGACAGCTCTAAGGTCCCATTCACACATGAGCGTTTTGTAGTGCGAAGCTTGAAGCTCCGAAACGCTCAGTGGGAAAAAAAAATCAATATTACTCTATGGTTGTGGTTCACATCTCCACTCCAAGTCACCTGAAGCAGAATGCGTAATGCTCAAAAACGTTTTGAAGGTACTTTTGTAGCTTAAATCGGGCAGATTTGCACATTTTTGCCACGTTTTTACTCTCAGAAAAAATAAAAATGCATGATTGGCACATTTATGTGGCACTTTTTGCGTAGTTTTCTTCTCAAATGAAAATATCCTTTAAAAAGTAGTAATAATATATAAATAAATAAATGTAAAATAAATTTTTAAAAATGCATATGAATTTAAAAAAAAATCACAATAAATAAATAATAATTAACCCCTAACCTTAAAAAAATAATAAAATAAATAAAAATAATAATAATCATGCAAAAAAATACATTATTACTACGACTATGACTACTACTACTACTAATAAATTATTATTATTTTATAATTTTTTGGGGTTTTATGGGGTTACAGTTATGGGTAATTATTATTTATATTATTTATTTATTATAATAATGGGTAATTATTATTTATTACAAGTATTTATGATTATTTTTATTTGTGTATTTATTTTAAATGTATTTATGTATGTAAATGTATTATTATTATTAATAATGTATTTTTTGTTCGGGTTTAGGTGTTTATTATAATTATTATTAATAATAATAATGATTTGTTTAATATATTTTTAAGGTTTAGGGGTTAATTTTATTTACTTTTACATAGTATTTATTTATGATTATTATTATTATTATTACTATTATCACTCTAACAAAAAATAATATATAATAAAATTATTAAATACATTAATAATAATAAAATAAATAGATTATTATTATTAATAATAATAATAATAATAATAATAATAAAAATAAATAAAAGCTGATGGAAAAGCTGAAGCAGAAAAACCTAGCAACAAATGATGCAACAGAGGATGTTTTTTGTCTATTGGCTAATAAAAAATGCCACAGCTCAAAATAGGCTAAAAAAGCTATATGAAAATGCACGGTAAAATATGCTGAAATACATCACAGCTTCCTGGAGGAAGAACTATAGAAGGGATGTGCCAAGACCAGTGGCTGGGGGAATAGGAGGCATAGCAACTACTGGTCTTATAAACAGGAAATCAAGGAGAATTAACAGTTTGATCTGAAAATAAAGAGGCTGTTTCAGAGCAACTACTAAGTGAAGCAGAAGATAGATGACATGTTTAGTGAAAGTAGGAAATCAGAAACAAGGACATGTAAAGAAGTTTTTGGCTGGAGTTCTGCTTTAAATGTATTTTTTGTGGTAATTTGAGGTCAGTGGTCCCTTTTAGCATGCTGTCCCATCCATTTTTTCCCTGCAAGGCTTCCCTTATTTAAAAAAAGGCTTTATTTTCGGGGTGTATTTTTGGGGTATTATTTGTATTTTTTTGCTGGTATTTTGATTTTTATTCCTGTCAGCAGTACCTATTTTAAGTTAGGGGTGCTCAAAATACAGCATTCACTTGTTCCTTGTTTTTATTAGGTATTACATAGTTAGTCTGGCTGAAAAAAGTCAAACGTTATAATCCTATATCCACCATTGATCCAGAGGAAGGCAAAACCCCCAGCAAAGCATGATCCAATTTTCTCCTGCAAGGGAAAAAATTAATTCCTGAACCCCTGAGAGGCAATCGGATATTCCTTGGATCAACTTTACTTATAAATGTTAGTATCCAGTTATATTCTGTGTAGCTAAGAAAGAATTTAGGCCTTTTTTGCAGCAATCCACTGAGCTGGCCAGAACCAACTCTTGAGGGAGTCTATTCCACATTTTTACAGCTCTCACTGTGAAGAAACCTGTGTTTAGAGATTAAATCTCTTTTCCTCCAGACAGCTTGTCCTCTGTGATGACCTCAGGGTGAATAGCTCTACACCGAGTTCACTATATGAACCACTGATGTATTTATACATGTTGATCATATACCCCCTTAATCTCCTCTTCTCAAGAGAGAATAAATTCAGTTCCTCTAATCTTTCCTCATAGCTGAGCTCCTCCATGCCCCTTATCAGTTTGGTTGCCCTTCTCTGTACTTTCTCCAGTTCCCCAATGTTCTTTTTGTGAATTGGTGCCCAAAACTGAACTGCATATTCCAGATGAGGTCTTACTAATGATTTGTACAGGGGTAATATGATATCTCTCTCTCTGGAGTCTATACCTCTTTTAATACAAGAGAGGATTTTGCTCGCTTTAGAAATCGTACTATTGTCACTAGTACATTTTGGTCTAAAATAGTTTTTTTAAATTCTCCTGTTACTGGCCAATTTTACACTGTTGTATCCTTTGTGGCCTTTTAGTTATTGTAGTAAAACACCTGCCTGTGCTCCTTGTCTCCACTACATTGTGGTCAGTTTTCTCTCATTAAACATTTCCTGCTGCTTGCCAATTGTACACTGCTGTATCATCTACAGTCTCTTAAAGGCTAAATTCATCTTTTGCAGAAAAATGGCCCATGCAGACAAAGGGGCCTGGTAGACTAAATTGCACTAGGCTATTTTTCGAAATATAGTTTAACCTTCCTGCTGGTAATCCTGAGTTTATCTTGGGGTTAATTTCAGTACCAAAAGTGGTAACCCCGAGCAACACTCGGGATTACACTGCAACGATCCTTGCCTTGTCCCACGATCCCGCGAGGTCCTCCCACTGTGTCCCCAGGCCATGTCCATCAGCTGATGCCGGCATCTGTGTTCCGTTCCCTGCGAGCATCGGGATATATGGGGGGCGGATCCGGTGGGAGATTTAAAAAAGTAAACATTTGACATACACACTACACTGTAATCTCTTAGTATTACATTACTGAATCAAACCATTTCACCTAAATTTTATCCCTAGTGCTTTGTCCTGTGCCCTGCCTGCACTTTTACTGTTCTTTCTGCCTGGAAACTGAGAAATGTCCATGGCATCCAAAAAGCATCCCTTTAGGTCAAAACCGGTTTTAGACCAGTTAGAGAACAGCGATAGTAAATTAGATCCACTTGCAGAATTGAGTGATAATGATTTGTGGGGAAATTCATCATCACACACTGAAAACAATTCTGCGACTTTGCTCAGCGATGTGCGAACTTGGCGCTATATTTCAAATTTCAGTGTTTTGGTTTGATTATATTATTAAATTTCTTATTATTATTTTTTATATTTATTATATTATAATTTATGATTTCGTGTTCAAACTTTATCATACCTGGGATGTTTACTAGACTCTTTTTTGGACAGATTGAAGTGAGTTATTCTTAAGAATTACGGGCCTACAATATAAAACAACAATATTCCATGAAAAACAATGTATTGCTTTGACATTCAAAAAAAATATTGATTAGTTACACCACCAGGGAGGTTAATGCAATTGTCGTACACGTAGGCTTGTTCTGGCCACCACCACAAAGTCTGACTGAAAACCTTTCATTCTGTTTCCATTTCCACATCCTGACTACTTTCCTGGACATGTTAGTTTCCTGTCCCATGGAGCTACCAGTGTAACCATTGCTTTGGCAAGCCAATCTCACATCCATGCAAAAAATGTGCTCAATCTGGCATTCAAGCAAGATGCCAACAGACCAACATCTGATGTCCCCGATGGGGCATTGACCATTGAAGAGACCACTCTCCTGGATGTAAACTGAATTTCCTGAACCAAAAAATTGTGCTTTGCATCTAGTAGGATACCTAATAATGCCATTTTGCATTGCATGGAAAAGACAGTTTCCAGCAAAGGGCATATTTGTCAAT